GTGCTTAGACTTGCCCATCTTCACTATCACAAGCTCTGGTGAAGACCAACTGGTGCTTAGACTGGCCCATCTTCACTATCACAAGCTCTGGTGAAGACCAACTGGTGCTTAGACTGGCCCATCTTCACTATCACAAGCTCTGGTGAAGACCAGTTGGTGCTTAGACTGGCCCATCTTTGCCATCACAAGCTCTGGTGAAGACCAGTTGGAGCTTAGACTGGCCCATCTTCACTATCAAAAGCTCTAGTGAAGACCAACTGGTGCTTAGACTGGCCCATCTTCACCATCACAAGCTATGATGAATACCAGCTAGTACTTAGAGTCTAAGCGCCAGCTGGTCTTCACCAGAGCTTGTGATAGTGGAGATGGGCCAGTCTTAGCCAGGGCCAGTGCTGCCACTAGGCAAACTAGGCAGCCGCCTAGGGCACACTGCTGCTGCTAGGGCGCAGCCATGACCATTGGTTTCCCCGACTCTCTGCCATGGCCAGGTCTAGGGTGCTGCTGGGGTAAGGTAAGCCCCCAGATTTCAGTTGTGCCCCCCCAGGTTGGTTTTCTATGGATGGACATCTTCCCCCATCCAGGCACTCAAGGTTGGGAAAAGGGGAGAGCAGTCTGGAGCAGTGAAGCCTGCAAATTAGAAACGTCAGGAAAGAGCCAGAAGGTGCGGGCTGTGCTCTCCTCTCCTGTCAGTGGAGCAATCCTCCATAAAGCAGATGACACAGGATCGCTCCTACATCGGAATGTTCAGTGTTTGATTCATTCCCTGGCTCCCTGCTGCCGAGAGATGAGTGGTCATTGGAAGAGATAGGGGGTAGGAAATTGGCACGGGGGTGCTAGGAAGGAGTACTGGGGGGATTGTGCTAGGAGGCAGGATGGGGGGGGGGATTTGTGAAGGAGAGGGGATTGGGGGGAATTTGTGTAAGGAGAGAGAGGGTATTGGGGGGGGAATTTATGCTAGGAGTTGGGATTTGGGAGGGGAGGAAGGATTTGTGCTGGGATGGGTAACTTGGGGGGGGGGGGTTGTGCTAGGAGGAGGGTTTTATTGGGATTTATGCCTGGAGGGGGGATTTGGGGGAGAGGATTTGTGCTAGGGTGAAAAATTTGAGAAGAAAGAGGATGTTTGGTAGGAGCGGTGAAGTAGAACTTCAGATGAATGTTTTGTTTTAGGAGGGTGCAAGTAGCTGATCTTGCCTAGGGCACAAAAATAGTCTAGCAGTGGCCCTGGTCTTAGCACAAGCATGTCTTCACCAGAGCTTGTGATGGTGGAGATGCGGCACTCTAAACACAAGCTGATTTTCACCCAGAGCCTGTGATGGTCAAGAAAAGGCAGCCTAAGCTCAAGTTAGTCTTCACCAGAGCCTGTGATGGTGGAGATGGGGCAGTCTAAGCACAAGCTGGTCTACACCAGAGCTTGTAATAGTGGAGATGGGCTAGGAGCCTAAATGGCCCCTGTAGCTCTTTGCTCTGAACTGGTATCAGGCTATGGCTCTCAGAATCACTCCACCAAGGGTGACTTGCCCATCTTCACCATCATAACCTCTGCTGAAGACCAGCTGAAGCTTAGACTGGCATATCTCTACCATCACAAGCATTGGTGAAGAGCAGTTGGTGCTTTGACTGTCATATTTCCATCATCTGATGAAGATTATTTAGTCTTCTCCAGAGCTTGTGATAGTGGAGATGGGACAGGAGCCTAAATGGCTCCTGTACTCTTTGCCGCGAGCTGGTATCAGGTAACGGCCCTCTGGATTACTCCACCAAGGGGTGACTGGCCCATCTTCACCATCACAGTCTCTGCTGAAGACCAGATGATGCTTAGACTGGCATATCTCCACCATCTGGTGAAGACCATTTAGTCTTCACCAGAACTTCTGCTAGTGGAGATGGGCCAGGAGCCTAAATGGCTCCTGTACTCTTTGCTGCGAGCTGGTATCAGGTAACGGCCCTCAGGATCACTCCACCAAGGGGTGACTGGCCCATCTTCACCATCATAACCTCTGCTGAAGACCAGCTGAAGCTTAGACTGGCATATCTCCACCATCACAAGCTCTGGTGAAGAGCAGTTGGTTGCTATTTCCACCATCTGGTGAAGACAATTTAGTCTTCACCAGAGCTTGTGATAGTGGAGATGGGCCAGTCTAAGCACCAGCTGGTCTTCCCCCAGAGCTTGTGATGGTGGAGATGGGCCAGGAACCTAACTAACCCCTGGAGCTCTTTGCTGCTGGCTGGTATCAACACCTCAGGTGAGTCTCATTCACCAGGGGGTGTTGTCGTAACACCAACATTTCAGTCCTGTTCCCCAGGATGCAGGCAACCTAACCCAAAGTCCACTTATGGCCCACCTCGTGACTGTGCAGTCTCCCCAGACCTTGCCAATTTACTGCAATAAATTCCACCTCTAATTATGCAGAGACCAGGCAACTTTCACCCCTCAATCGTCACAATGAATGTCTTATTGCCCAATGCATTACTGAGTTACTGCAAATGCACAGTAACCAAAAAAAACAAAGAGCTACAATGATTCTAATAAGGGTCCAGGCCATGGCCCCAAGCACAGCATCATTGGAACCAAGCTCCAAGGTGAAGGACTGTCCTGACAATTCATGGCATGTATGCACCAGGTGAAAATAAATGGAAAAAAAAAAACTAATGCAGCAACCACGTCTAAGGACTGATAAGTTCCAGTATATCACATTTTTGTTCTAGGGTAGGGAGGGATCCTAATGGCCTGGTAATGTTCCTGGAGAACAAAAAGCTGATCCACCAGGAGATTAACTCTATTAAATCTACTGCAAGTCTACTGATTCTACTGGTTCTACTGATTCTGCTGGTTCTTGCAGTGCATCCTCACATCTAAAGGGACATCGGAGCTGCAGAACTCAACATGCATTCATACAGACCCTCCCACTTGGCACTCACCTTAGAAAATGTCAGCAGCTGCTCCATGATGGCCTGCACAGAATCAGAGCGGGCAGCAATCTTCAATAAAGTTTTAAAAAGTCATTGTGTTTCTTTCCTACAGCTGACTGAGGCCGTCTCCTTCTTAATCAATCTGGAGTTTTACTTTAAATCTGGGATTCCAATCTGCACTCCTGATCGGCCAGTTATGGCGCAGCGCTTGGGGTCGGCTTACTGCGAATGTTACAGAGTTTTATGGCCTCTGCTTAATTCATGTCACACTTCATTCATTTTTCCACTGGTTGTTTTTGGCATTTTCACTTTATTGAAATGAAATTGCAAAGAGAGAGAGCGAGACTGGAAGCGAGGAGGGAGACTGTGAGGACGTGTCCCGGCCTCTGCTGACTCCTTGTGGCTTTTATTTTCATTTTTGTGGAATTTGCAAAAATTTGCAGCCATTTATTGGGGCAAGCATGAAGCTTGAAGGTTTAGCGGGTAAGGTATGACATGAAGGTGTGCAATATGGCCGATGTTTCTGGGGGTGTTTGTAACATGGAACATGATTTGGCATTGCTGGAAGATTAGTCAATGAAATCTGGAGTTCAATGTTTCCAAATGCAAAATATTACACCTACAGGAAAGGAACTCTCTGACAGTTATTACCAGAGGGGTCATCGGCAGGAGGAAGGAGGTCCTGATCCCTCTATATAGATCTTTATATCACTAGAGGAGTCTCTGGCGGGAGGATGGAGGACCTTATTCCTCTATATAGATCTTTAGATCACTAGAAGGGTCACCGGCAGGAGGAAGGAGGTCCCGATTCCTCTATATAGATCTTTATATCACTAGAGGGGTCACCGGGGGGAGGAAGGAGGTCCTGATTCCTCTATATAGATATTTTATATCACTAGAGGGGTCACCGGGGGGAGGAAGGAGGTCCTGATTCCTCTATATAGATATTTATATCACTAGAGGGGTCACCGGCAGGAGGAAGGAGGTCCTGATTCCTCTATATAGATATTTATATCACTAGAGGGGTCACCGGGGGGAGGAAGGAGGTCCTGATTCCTCTATATAGATCTTTATATCACTAGAGGAGTCTCTGGCGGGAGGATGGAGGTCCCGATTCCTCTATAAAGATCTTTATATCACTAGAGGGGTCACCGGCAGGAGGAAGGAGGTCCCGATTCCTCTATATAGATCTTTATATCAATAGAGGGGTCACCAGCAGGAGGTCCAGATTCCTCTATATAGATCTTTATATCACTAGAGGGGTCACCGGCAGGAGGAAGGAGGTCCCGATTCCTCTATATAGATCTTTATATCAATAGAGGGGTCACCAGCAGGAGGTCCAGATTCCTCTATATAGATCTTCATATCACTAGAGGGGTCACCGTCAGGAGGAAGGAGGTCCTGATTCCTCTATATAGATCTTTATATCACTAAAGGGGTCCCACCGACAGGAGGAAGAAGGTCCAGATTCCTGTATATAGATCTTCATATCACTAGAGGGGTCACCGGCACGAGGATGGAGGTCCCGATTCCTCTATATAGATCCTATCACTAGAGGGGTCACCGGCAGGAGGAAGGAGGTCCTGATTCCTCTATTTAGAACTATATATTGCTAAAGGGGTCCAGAGACGGGGAACAGAATGGTGAAAGGTCTGGGGGGGATAAAGCATATCAGGAACTGTCCATGACTGCCAGCTGACTACTCCTGGGCTATCCATACATGTGGAAATTTGATCAAGCCATCAAACTTTGAATTTTTATTTAGTTTTATTATTAGTTACATTTTCCTTGATTGGAAAAATCCGATCACTTCCTACGAGATCGACATAGATTTTTCCTGTTTTAATTCACTTCAATAAAATGCAGTTTTCCTTTAATCTTTCTGTCAATAAACTTTATTATACTTGTCATTCTGTAACGACATGAATGTTGGTGCTAATTAAAGTTAAATTAACTAAAAAAAAAATCTATTGAATTCTAGCCGACCTTCAGCCCTCCCATTATTCTTGCACAGTTGTACAGCCTCGGCCCGAAATGTACTGTGATTTCACTGCGCACAGTGGGTGGCCACGTGTTTCAAAGGTCCTTCTTTCTCAGAGACTTGAGAAGAATGGAGGAACCTTGGAAGTGCATTGCTGCCCCCCTGGCCTGAGGTGCAGTTGCTCCATGAGGATACCCGGATCTGGTAGATGTTGCTCTTTTTTCCAGCTGGTAGAGTGGGACTTTACTGCGCCAATGCCAGAAAGAAGCCTTTACTGCGCCAATGCCACAAAAAAGCTGGTGAGGCATATCAGTGTATTGTCCGGCATTTTCCTCTTTTGTGGCATTGGCGCAGTAAAGGCTTCTTTCTGGCAACTCGACCATGCAGCTCATTTTTGTTCAAGTATCATCATATTGTGCTTCTTGAAACAACCACACCGTCTTTTTCTAGAGCAGCCTGTATTCCTCTTGAGGTTCCCTGTTGGGTTTCCCTTTGTATCCCGAACAATTCTTCTGGCAGTTGTGGCTGCCATCTTTCTTGGTTTAGCTGACCTTGGCTTGGTATCAAGATATCCTCAGATTTTCCACTTCTTAATAAATGATTGAACAGTACTGACTGGCATATTCAAGGCTTTGGATATCTTTTTATATCCTTTTCCATCTTTATAAAGTTCCATTACCTAGTTACGCAGGTCTTTTGATAGTTCTTTTCTGCTCCCCATGGCTCAGTGTCTAGACTGCTCAGTGCTTCCATGTGAGACCTAACAAACTCGCTGACTATTTATACGCAGACACTGATTGCAAATCAAAAAGGCACTAATGTGGGAAATTAACCTGTTGTTTGTCCTGGTACCCTGTGTGTGTCCGCTTGTGTGTCTGTACCAAGGCCGAACCTTTCAGGGGAGGGAAACTTTTGACCCATTTGGGGGATTTCTGTTGTCATGTATTTATGTCATTCGGTGGTACAGTTTTATCTACATCCTGTTATAGGATTCCTGTATACTACAACTGGCATTCGAGTTCTTTATTGGCTCGCTTCAAGCTCTGGCCCCCTATGCCCACCCTCAGGACTTCCTCGCCGCCCATCCGTCCTCTCCACGTAAGCTCAGCTTCATTTTACACATATGTATCTTGTTTATCCTGTGCATATTTGTGTTTGTTTGTATATTTATTTTGTATTTTCTTTACACATTCAGTAGCACTATTCTCCCTCGTATTCAAGCTACGGTCCTGAAGAAGCCAAATGCACAGACGAAACGTGTTGACCGTATTTTGATGTACGCATATTGTAACTATGTGCTTAGTTGGTATATTTTATATACATTAGAGGGGTCATTGTGCTTATAACTACGATCTTTTTTGCTCTTGTTCCCTCTGTTGAGGGGCATAAGGGGGGGATTTTGATCTCCATGTATAATACATAAGGGGGGGATATAATCTCCATGTATAATACATAAGGGGGGGATATAATCTCCATGTATAATACATAAGGGGGGATATGATCTCCATGTATAATACATAAGGGGGATATGATCTCCATGTATAATATATAAGGGGGATATGATCTCCATGTATAAATACATCAGTGGTTCATATAGTGAACTCGGTGTAGTTATTTCCCCCTGAGGTCATCACAGAGGACAAGGGGGCGCTCTTTACGTCTGGAGGAAAAGAAATGTAATCTCCAAACACGGAAAGGTTTCTTCACAGTAAGAGCTGTGAGAATGTGGAATAGACTCCCTCAAGAGTTGGTTGTGGCCAGCTCAGTGGATTGCTGTAGGAAAGTCCTGGATTCTTTCTTGGATACACAGAATATAACTGGATATAACATTTATAGGGAAAGTTGATCCAGGGAATATCCGATTGCCTCTCGGGGGGTCAGGAAGGAATTTTTTCCCTGCAGGAGCAGATTGGATCGTGCTTTGCTGGCTTTTTTGCCTTCCTCTGGATCAACTGTGGGTGTAGGAGTAAAATGTTTTTTTTTTTTTTTTTAATGGTTGAACTGGATGAACTTTTGTCTTTTTTCAGCCAGACTAACTATGTAATAAATGATTATATGTATTTTACTGTGTGATCTCTTACTGTGCCCAAAGAATCCAATGCCTTTGCCGTATTTAGCAGTTCGGTTTCTTTTTTTTCTGCATCAATAGGATTTGACACCAGGTAGATTTTTTGGTATTTTTCATGATTTTTAAAAGGTGCCAAACTATGTAATAATAAATGGCTTCATATGGTCGCTATTCTTAAATAAAAGACATTTTTTTTGGGGACGTTCGGTCAGATTTTCATTATCAATGCCGAAATTTAACCATTTCTGCACAACTGTCCATGGACCTTCTCTATGGATGGACTTCATTCCATATGGGGCTGTGTGAAGGTTTCTTTTAGTTTTATTGTCGTTTAATAAAAGTTATACATTCAATGAAATTTCCTTGTTCCTATTCAAGACTTTAAGTTTGCTTTTCGGGAGTCGCTGATTTACGAATTGCAAAGAAAAAAGTGCTACAGTCCCGAAAAACATAATCAGTAATCAGCCCCGGCCTTCTCTCTGGCTGGCGTAATGATTCAGACTGGAATCAATAGCACAGAGCGTGATTTATGGGTTACGTATCTTCTGCTCTTTAGAAGTGCAGATTCTACTGAAAATTGGCAATAAGTGAGTGGGGGGGGGGGGCAGGAGGGTGAGGAGTACGAGGGGGGCAAGGAGGATGAGGAGAACGAGGAGGACGAGGGGGGTGAGGAGGACGAGGAGGGCGAGGAGGATGAGGAGGATGTGGGAAGTGAGGAGGACAAGGCGGACGAGGAGAATGAGGAAGACGAGGAGAACGAGGAGGACAAGCAGGGCGAGGAGGGCGAGGAGAGCGAGGAGGATGAGGAGAATGAGGAGGACAAGCAGGACGAGGAGGGCGAGGAAAGAGAGTAGGATGAGGAGAGCGAGGAGGATGAGGAAAGCGAGGAGGACGAGGCGAGCGAGGAGGGTTAGGAGGACAAGGTGAGCGAGGAGAATTAGCAGGGCGAGGAGGAGGAATATGTAATGTACATAATGCAGGGGCCAGGTGTATGTAACGAATAGAGTGTAGGGGTCAGGAGTATATTATGAACATAATGCAGGGGTCAAGAATATGCAATGCACATAGTGTAGGAGTCAAGTACATGTAATATATGGCCTCCCAGTCTTAGCCCGTAGCGTTCAATATTGAGTTGGCCCCGCCCTTTCCACACACATTACCTTTAATGGCCCCCAGTCTTAGTCCGTAGGGTTCAATATTGAGTTGGCCCCACCCTGCCCTTTGCAGCTTATAACAGCTTCAACTTCAACTCTTCTGGGAAGGCCGTCCACAAGGTTTAGGAGGGTGTCTATGGGAAGGTTGGATCATTCTTCCAGAAGCACATTTGTCAGGTCAGGCACTGATGTCGGGGGAGGAGGCCTGGCTCACAGTCTTTACTCTAATTCATCCCAAAGGTGTTCTATGGGGTTGAGGTCAGGACTCTGTGCAGGCCAGTCAAGTTCCTCCACCCCAAACTGGCTCCTCCATGTCTTTATGGACCTTGCTTTGTGCACTGGGGGGGCAGTCATGTTGGAACAGGAAGGAGCCCTCCCCAAACTCTTCACACAAAGTTGGGAGCATGAAATTGTCCAAAATGTCGCCTTAAGAGTTCCCTTCACTGGAACTAGGGGGCCAAGCCCAACCCCTGAAAAACAACCCCACACCATAATCCCCCCTCCACCAAACTTTACACTTGGCACAATGCAGTCAGGCAAGTACCGTTCTCCTGGCACCGCCAAACCCAAACACGTCCATCGGATTGCCAGACAGAGAAGCGTGATTGGTCACTCCAGAGAACACGCCTACTCTGCTCTAGAGTCAAGTGGCGGTGTGCTTTATACAGCAGAGCAATACAAAGCAGCATGTCTATACAGCACACACAGCACACAGGTAACCCTTTGATTGCCCCAGATGTTAACCTCCTCCTGCCCAGTGCCATTAGTACAGCTTTTTATTAGCACTGATCACTATATTGGAGTCACTGAGGATGTCAATGGCAGTTAGTCAGTCCTCCCCCCCCTCCAGTGTCAGAATGCCCGCCGCAGTCCCGCTATAATCGCTGACTGTCACCATTACTAGTTAAAGAAAAAGAATCCTAGTATATACACCGTCATTTGTAAATGTTATAACTTTCACGTAAACCAATGAATTTACATGTATCAGGATTTTTTTTTTAGCAAAGCCACAGAGCAGAATACATTTTGGCCAAAATTTATGACAAAATGTTATTTAAATTTTTTTTAACTGGACATGTTTTATAGCAAAAAGTAAAAAAATATATTTTTTTTTTTTTCAAAATTGTTGATCTTTTTTTGTCTATAGCGCAAAAATTAACAAACCCAGAGGCTATCAAATACCAAAGAAAGAAAGCTCAATTTGTGGGGAAAAAGGAACGTAAATCTCACTTGGGTGCAGCATTGCATGACGCAGCTCCGTAACGCAAAAAATGGCCTGGTCAGGAAGGGGGGCATTCTCTGGAGGGCGAGGGGTTAAAGTACGTTTAGAAATTGGCGGTCAGTGAGGGGTTAACACGCTGGCTTCTTCTGTTTCTTTCTTCAGATCTCAGTATCCCAGAATATCTCTAATAAATGTTAGAAAAAACAATGACAAGGAGGCTATGGCCGCCCCGGGAAGCGGGGGGGGATTTCAGAGAATTGGAATATGAAGTACCCTTCTCTCTTTGACCTACAAATGAAGGACGGGCACTTAACCGGCAGGATGGCGGTCTGTAAAAACCAGATCTGCCGCTCATACCATAGAAATGGTTACCAGAGAAACAGAGATACAATAACAGCCATCGTCCTTTGTTAGGAGTTCGCTGAATTCCGTGTCAAGGTGCCGGGCTCCATAATAGAGCGCAGGGCTGAGAGCACACTAATGGAGTCACCGGAGTCCAACCCCCACCTGAAATATGACAGAGGGCGGAACCGACCCAATCCACAAAAAAGGAGAAGGTTGGGAGAGAAGAGGAGAAGGAGAAGGGTTCAGGAAGCGATGAGTAAGAAGGAGAGGATGCAGAAGAAGGAAGAAGGAGAGGCTTGAGAAGAAGGAGAAGGAGAAAGGATGAGACAGAAGGAGAAAGGAGAAGGATGAGAAGAAGGAGAAGGATGAGTAAGAAGGAGAAGGTGAGAGAAGGAGAATGATGAGAAGAAGGAGAAGGATGATAAGAAGAAAGTCTGAGAATAAGGAGAAGGATGAGTAAGAAAGGAGAAGGAGAAGGATGAGAAGAAGCGGAAGGATGAGAAGAAGGAGAAGGAGATGGATGAGAAGAAAGTGAAGGATTGAGAAGGAGAAGGATGAGAAGAAAGAAGGATGAGAAGAAGAAGGATTAGACGAAGGAAAAAAGGTGAGAAGAAGAAGGATGAGAAGAAGGAGAAGGATGAGAAGAAGGAGAATGATGAGAAGAGGAGGAAGGATGATAAGAAGGACAGGGATTGTGGTCTGCAGAAGAAAGCCGGACTAACCAATGTTGGATCCGTAGTGTTCTGTTATATTGGATTGGAAGAAAAAGAAAAGTGTTTGGGATTGGTTTCTGTAGTGTTGGATCTGTAGTGTTGGATCTGTGGTGTTGGGTCTCTAGTGTTGTTGGATCCATCCGTAGTGTTGGGTTTTGGATCTAGTATCTTAGTAGTGTTTGGATCTGCATGGATCCGGATCCATGTGTGGATCTGTCTCTAGTGTTGGATCTGTAGTGTTGGTCTGTAGTGTTGGGTCTCTATCTGTTGGTTGGAACTCTTTAGTGTTGGATCCAAGTAGTGTTGGGTCTCTAGTATTGTTTGATCCGTAGTGTTGAGTCTCTAGTGTTGGAGTGCTGGGTTCTAGTCTGCCTTGGAATCTAATAGTGTAGTGTTGGATCTGTAGTGTTGGAATCCGTAGTGTTGGATCCGTAGTGTTGGATCTGTTGGGTCTCTAGTGTTGTGATCTGTAGTGCTTGGTCTCTAGTGTTGGATCTGTAGTGTTGGATCTGTAGTGTTGGATCTCTAGTGCAATGGATCTGTAGTGTTGGAATCTGTAGCTGTATGTGTTGGGTCCTCTAGTGCTGGGATCCGTAGTGTTGGATCTGTAGTGTTGGATCTGTAGTTTTGGATCCCATAGTGTTGGATCTGTAGTGTTGGGTCTCTAGTGTTGGATCCGTAGTGTTGGAATCTGTAGTGTTGGGTCTCTAGTGTTGGATCTGTAGTGTGGGTCTCTAGTGTTGGATCTGTAGTCTCTAGTGTTGGATCTGTAGTGTTGGTAGTGTTGGGTCTCTAGTGTTGGATCCATAGTGTTGGGTCTCTAGTGTTGGATCTGTAGTGTTGGGTCTCTAGTGTTGGATCCGTAGTGTTGAATCTGTAGTGTTGGGTCTCTAGTGTAGGATCCGTAGTGTTGGGTCTCTAGTGTTGGGTCTCTAGTGGTGCATCTGTAGTGTTGGGTCTCTAGTGTTGGATCCGTAGTGTTGGATCCAGGGCTGGACTGACAACTCATGGGGCTCTCGGGCAATAGGGGATCATGGGACCCCTGTGTCCTTGCCCACACTCAAAAAAACACCCCAAAAAAGCCTATAAAAAGGTACCAGGGGAATTTCATGGGGCCTCCTACTGACCCCGGGCCCTCGGGCAGTGCCCGAGTGCTCAAATATTCAGTCCGCCCCTGGTTGGATCTGTAGTGTTGGATCTCTAGTGTTGGGTCTCTAGTGCTGGATCTGTAGTGTTGGATCTGTAACGTTGGGTCTCTAGTGTTGGAGCCGTAGTATTGGGTCTCTAGGATCCGTAGCGTTGGGTCATCTGTAGTGTTGGGTCTCTAGCGTTGGATCTGTAGTGTTGGATCTGTAGTGTTGGATCTGTAGCGTTGGGTCTCTAGTGCTGGATCCATAGCGTTGGATCTGTAGTGTTGGATCTGTAGTATTGGATCCGTAGTGTTGGATCCGTAGTGTTTGGTCTCTAGTGTTGGATCTCTAGTTTTGGATCCGTAGCGTTGGGTCTCTAGTGTTGGGTCTCTAGTGGTGCATCTGTAGTGTTGGGTCTCTAGTGTTGGATCCGTAGTGTTGGATCCAGGGCTGGACTGACAACTCATTGGGCTCTCGGGCAATAGGGGATCATGGGACCCCTGTGTCCTTGCCCACACTCAAAAAACACCCCAAAAAAGCCTATAAAAAGGTACCAGGGGAATTTCATGGGGCCTCCTACTGACTCCGGGCCCTCGGGCAGTGCCCGAGTGCTCAAATGGTCACTCCGCCCCTGGTTGGATCTGTAGTGTTGGATCTCTAGTGTTGGGTCTCTAGTGCTGGATCTGTAGTGTTGGATCTGTAACGTTGGGTCTCTAGTGTTGGAGCCGTAGTATTGGGTCTCTAGTGTTGGATCCGTAGTGTTTGGTCTCTAGTGTTGGATCTCTAGTTTTGGATCTGTAGTGTTGGGTCTCTAGTGTTGGGTCTCTAGTGTTGGGTCTCTAGTGGTGCATCTGTAGTGTTGGGTCTCTACTGTTGGATCCGTAGTGTTGGATCCAGGGCTGGACTGACAACTCATGGGGATCTCTTGGGCAATAGGGGATCATGGGACCCCTGTGTCCTTGCCCACACTCAAAAAACACCCCAAAAAAGCCTATAAAAAGGTACCAGGGGAATTTCATGGGGCCTCCTACTGACCCCGGGCCCTCGGGCAGTGCCCGAGTGCTCAAATGGTCAGTCCGCCCCTGGTTGGATCTATAGTTTTGGATCTCTAGTGTTGGGTCTCTAGTGCTGGATCTGTAGTGTTGGATCTGTAAGGTTGGGTCTCTAGTGTTGGAGCCGTAGTATTGGGTCTCTAGTGCTGGATCCGTAGCGTTGGGTCTCTAGTGTTGCATCTGTAGTGTTGGGTCTCTAGCGTTGGATCCGTAGTGTTGGGTCTCTAGTGTTGGTTCTCTAGTGTTGGATCTGTAGTGTTGGATCCGTAGTGTTGTATCTGTAATGTTGGGTCTCTAGTGCTGGATCTGTAGTGTTGGATCTGTAGTGTTGCATCTGTAGTATTGGATCTGTAGTGTTGGATCTGTAGTGTTGGATCCGTAGTGTTGGGTCCGTAGTGTTGGATCTGTAATGTTGGATCTGTAATGTTGGGTCTCTAGTGCTGGATCTGTAGTGTTGGATGTGTGATGTAGTGTTGCATCTGTAGTGTAGTATTGGATCTGTAGTATTGGATCTGTAGTGTTGGATCTGTAGTGTTGGATCCGTAGTGTGTGATCCGTAGTGTTGGATCTGTAATGTTGGGTCTCTAGTGTTGAATCTGTGGTGTTGGATCTGTAGTGTTGGATCTGTAATGTTGGGTCTCTAGTGTTGGATCTGTAGTGTCGGATCTGTAGTGTTGGATCTGTAATGTTGGATCTGTAATGTTGGATCTGTAATATCTGTAATGGGGTCTCTAGTGTTGGATCTGTAGTGTTGGATCTGTAGTGTTGGATCTGTAGTGTTGGATCTGTAATGTTGGGTCTCTAGTGCTTGATCTGTAATGTTGGATCTGTAATGTTGGGTCTCTAGTGCTGGATCTGTAGTGTTGGATCCGTAGTGTGTGATCCGTAGTGTTGGATCTGTAATGTTGGGTCTGTAGTGGGATCTCTAGTGTTGGATCTATAGTGTTGGATCTGTAGTGTTGGATCTGTAATGTTGGGTCTCTAGTGCTGGATCTGTAGTGTTGGATCTGTAGTGTTGGATCCGTAATGTTGGGTCTCTAGTGTTGGATCCGTAGTGTTGGATCTGTAGTGTTGGATCTGTAATGTTGGGTCTCTAGTGTTGGATCCGTAGTGCTGGATCTGTAATGTTGGGTCACTAGTGTTGGATCTGTAATGTTGGATCTCTAGTGTTGGATTTGTAGTGTTGGATCTGTAGTGTTGGATCTGTAATGTTGGATCTCTAGTGTTGGATTTAGTGTTGGAGTGTTGGATCTGTAGTGTTGGATCTGTAATGTTGGATCTCTAGTGTTGGATCCGTAGTGTTGGATCCGTAGTGTTGGATCTGTAATGTTGGGTCTCTAGTCTCGTTTGGATCTGTAATGTTGGATCTCTAGTGTTGGATCTGTAGTGTTGGATCTGTAATGTTGGATCTCTAGTGTTGGATCCGTAGTGTTGGATCCGTAGTGTTGGATCTGTAATGTTGGATCTGTAATGTTGGATCTCTAGTGTTGGATCCATAGTGTTTTGGATCCGTAGTGTTGTATCTGTAATGTTGGGTCTCTAGTGCTGAATCTGTAGTGTTGGATCCGTAGTGTGTGATCCGTAGTGTTGGATCTGTAATGTTGGGTCTCTAGTGTTGGATCTGTAATGTTGGATCTCTAGTGTTGGATCTGTAGTGTTGGATCCGTAGTGTTGGATCTGTAATGTTGGGTCTCTAATGTTGGATCCGTAGTGTTGGATCTGTAATGTTGGGTCTCTAATGTTGGATCCGTAGTGTTGGATCTGTAATGTTGGATCTCTAGTGTTGGATCTGTAGTGTTGGATCTGTAATGTTGGATCTCTAGTGTTTGGATCCGTAGTGTTGGATCCGTAGTGTTGGATCTGTAATGTTGGGTCTCTAATGTTGGATCCGTAGTGTTGGATCTGTAGTGTTGGATCCGTAGTGTTGGATCTGTAATGTTGGGTCTCTAGTGTTGGTGAATGGTGTGTCACTGTCAGATGGTGACAATTGTCTCTGAAACTCTTTCTTCTGTCTCTTCTCAGGGTGAGTCCCTCAGCCATCCAGAAGGTTCTCTCCCTCCATCCTGGTGACGGGGATAACAGCCGTCAGCCCATTGACTATAATTTTCTGCTATTAAGTCAATCTGTGTTGTTGGAGACACAATGGAGGAGCCTCAATCAAGATATATTACCAGACAAAAGAAGGCGGCATTACCCAGAGATAAGCGCTATTTATCCCACTTAGGCAGACAATTGTTCTGTCTGTTTCTGTGCAAAGGTCCCCATCTATCCGTGACCCGAATTACATCCAGCGATCAGCACTCCCCTCCCAGGCTGCTCAGGCATTCCCCGTCATATTCCATCACTAAACCCGCCACAGCTTTATTATGGCAGCCGGGAAAAATAGCAAAGAGCGGCCTGTCTTTCCCTATCAGTATATTATCAGGCCGTGTGCACCGGGCTGTTCTAAGCTGCAGTGGTACCATCAAGGCTGTCCGGGGCTATTTAAAAAGAAAACAAATTCACATATATATTTTAAAATCAGCATTTTTTTTTTTGTTGAAGTACCCTTCTCGCTTTGACCTACAAATGAAGGACGGGCAGGATGGCGGTCTGTAAAAACCAGATCTGCCGCTCATATCATAGAAATGGGGGCGCACTGTGACCAATGTTTTTTTATCACTGGAGGTTTTTTATCACTGGAGGTTTTTTTGATCACATGGTGGATTCTAAATTATGTGAAGTTTGATTTGGATTCACATCAGTTTTTTCTCACACATTAATGACTTTTTATTTGAAATTTTATTGGTTGATTTAATTTTTAGGAATATATTTTATTCGACATTATTAATTATTATTATTATTATTATTATTATTATTATTATTAATAGCTTATCACTGTCTGCGCCACTTTTTTTACACTATCACTGCGGGTTTTGTTTGCATTTGATTATATTACATGGCAGCTGTTGGGGATGTTATGAGATTGTTATTTTAATTGTTTTCACATATTATTAATTTAATTTAATGTTTGCATCCAGCGCGATATTGTGTATTTCAGTATTGTTTTGAAACACTCTTTTTTTGATTATGCAAATATAACCTGTCCCCTTTTTTTTTTTTCCCCTTCAGCGGCTCTTCCTTCTATCCCAATGTCCAGTGTTTCTGCCAGTTTAGATTCCCTGATTAATGGCTGATAACTACAAACATAACAGAATTTCTTTTTTTTTTTTTTTTTTTTTTTCTTTTTTTTTTTTTATTATTAATTTCTATTTTAATTTAATTAATTTATATTAATTTATTTTTATATGTATTTATTTATATTAATTTATTTTGGATGTATTTATTTTATATGTATTTATGGTTTTTTTTATATATATATATATATATATATTTATTTATTTTTTTTTAAATTTTTACGACTTTTATTTGCTTGCATGGCAGTATAAATTTTCGCAGAGAATATTGAGCTGTGCACATAATTCCTGCGTGCCTTACCTGGGCTTACAATCTAATGTTCCTGTTACAGCCCTACTGTGAGGGCCAGGGGTGGACTGAGAAATCATGGGGCCCCGGGCAATAGGGGATCGTGGGGCCCCTGTGTCCATGCCCACACTCAAAAAAAAAGCCTATGAAAAAGGCACCAGGGGCATCTTATGGGGCCCCTACAGACCCCGGGCCCTCGGGCAGTGCTCGAGTTTCCAAATGGTCAGTCTGCCCCTGGTCAGGGCTTGTTCGCACCAAGTGTGGTGTGGGAAAAGGGTGCAAAATTGCGTACTGCCTTTTGCCTTATGCATCTGGCAAATGTGAGGGTGTTTGCATCTGGCAAAAAATACATTTTTACTGTGGCACAATTTTAAATAATTTTGCCCGCACTTTTTTTTTTTTTTTTTTTCCGCATTTCGAGCGCATAGCACCGTCCTTTGAAGTTAATGGCCTGGTTCAGATCTATAGTATATGTGTCAGGAACATGCGAAAAATCATGTGCTTTCCCGCACAGAAATGCGCTACTCTTCAGCAAGATGTGTGAGTTGCCATTAATTCTTCAAGCGGAACGTCAGGAAAGATTTTTTTTTTGTGCTATGCAGTGAGGCTGTGCCCCCCCGCTGCATGGATCGGCTGCTTGTTATTTCTGGGGGGTGAGGAATAGCCTCATACTCAGCTGATCCGCTGGTCCTACGGAAAACCACGCTCCCCCCCCGCAGTACAGTGGACTGTTCCTGTAGAGCATGCTGACGTCAGGAACAGTCAATTTACAAGACTGATGGATATGGGGGGGGAACCAGCCATAAGGACTGTTCTTGTGCTGGGAAGATCGGAGCAGGGATGGACTGACCATTTGGAAACTCGGGCACTGCCCGAGGGCCCGGGGTCAGTAGGGGGCCCCATGAGATGCCCCTGGTACCTTTTTCATAGGCTTTTTTGAGTTTGGGCAAGGACACAGGGGCCCCATGATCCCCCATTGCCCGGGGGCCCCATGAGTTGTCAGTCCGCCCTTGGATCAGAGGGTCAAGTGAGTATATCTTTGGTGTCCTCCTCCCTAGAATAAAATTAGCATTTGACCCATACAGTGGGACTGCGCTGGCACGGGCTAAAAGTTTATTTTTTCAAGATTTCTTCTTTAATGGCACTCCTGGCATGATGCAGTTTGGTGCAGCACAATTTTCAAATGCAGGACTTCTTTCCTCATATTGGAAAAGGATGGGTGCCCTACATGCAACACACAACCTCATACACTATATTCTCAAAAGAATTGGCCCCTCCCCCTTCCAATCATGTGATTCAGGTGTTCCAATCCCCTCAATGGACACAGGTGTATACAATCATCCCCTAGGCATGCAGACTGCTTCTACAAACATTGGTGAAAGAATGGGTCGCTCTCAGGAGCTCAGTGACTCCAAGCGTGGTCCCGTGATAGGTGGCCACCTGGGCAATAAGTCCATCCGTAACATTTCCTGGCTACTAAATATTCCACGCTCAACTGTTAGTGGGATTATAACAAAGTGGAAGCAACTGGGAACAACAGCCACTCAGCCACCAAGTGGTAGGCCACGTCACATGACAGGGCGGG